ATCAGGTCCAGGATTTCAGCCTTGGTGTGTTTCTCTGGCTTCAGCCACTGACGGCAGAGACGATGAAGTTGGCTAAAAAGCACTCGGGGCCCTTCATCCTCCTGGTAGCTGAATTCCCGAAAATCCTGGCACTGGACTTCTGGGTCAAGAGAGTCCGTATCAAGGTTGTTCTGTCCAGTTCCTACTGGGATTTCCTCTTTGCTCCAATTCTCCATATCATTAGGCTACTTTCCAGCTCCAGAACTGGCTGAGACCTCCACTTTCATCTCCAATAGGAACCAAAAGAATGGAAGGAAATGGACCGCTTTTTCCCTCTGTAGGAAAAGCAAAGACATACGAAAACTTAGGGGCAAGCTCAAGACTTGGGAATGGCTCAGATATTGAAGGAGAAAGCAACTGACCACCCAACCCCACTCTACAGACTCTTTCTCTAAAGTTTGTGCTCTCCACATTTTTCTACAACCCCCCCCAACCAAGGACTACCTTCTCCCCATGGTACAATTTGCATTACAAATAGAAAGTGCCTTTTCACTGGTTCAAACCCAAATTGTCTTCAACAGAGGATTCAGAGGCAGGGGAGGAGGGCGAAGGGGCCTGTCCCACCTGTGAAGTGCTTTAGCCCTAGGAGGCTCATTTGTGGGTAGAAAAGGATGTTACTCAACACTGCTGGAGGTCTCTCCCAGCCCCACACAGTCCCATGACTGTCACTTGCCTCACCAGAAGCAGATCCGAGAAAATGTCATCTCCAGGAAGGGGGGAAATAGCTGTATTCCAAAACGCTCACAAGAAGGCATGGAAGAGGGAGGTGGGTGAAGAAAGAGGAAAGGGTAATGCAAGGGCTTTGCTTTTAAAATGCAGGACTCTAACTGAGATGATGGGGTACTACCTGTCCTGAACTGACTGTTCTGTTTTTGGTGCATTTATGATTGTTCTAATCTTCTTTGTTTAATTGTGTGTTTTTTTAAACTGCGGAGGAAGGACAACTCAGAGAGCCTCCCCAGGAGGCTACCATGGTTGACGGTATCAAAGGCAGCTGAGATGTCAAGGAGGACCAAGAAGGACATATTGTCCCTATCGGTCTCCCTCAACAAGCAATCCAGCAGTGTGACCAGTACTGTTTCCGTACCATAGCGCGGCCTGAAGCCCGACTGAAATGGGTCCAGGGCATTGGTTTCGTCCAAAAGCGCCTGTAGCTGGTCTGCCACCACCCTCTCCACCACTTTGCTTAGGAAAGAAACATTGGTGACAGGCCTATAATTTCCAATGTCATCCGCCACCAAATTTGGTTTCTTCCTAATGGGCCTAATGAGTGTCTCCTTGAGGGCAAGGGGGACCTTGCCCTCCTGGAGAGACCCATTAATTATTGTGGTGGCCCATTCTGTTGTTACTGGCCTGGCTGCTTTAATTAGCCAGGCCGGGCAAGGGTCAAGGGAGGAGGTGTATTCTGTTACAATAACAGAAATCCCTATAAACATATACATGTATTTTATGGGGAAAGTGAGTTCAGGTTTTTGATTGGTGAAGTGTTAAGACAACAAAAAGTTAAGAATGCTGTGATAGCATTCATCCTTATATCAGTGGGCTATTTTATGAAAAACTAAACAACATAATAAATTGTTGTTATGCGGTGTCAGCTTGCTTTCAACATACAGCAACCTTAATAAGGCTTTTCAGATACAGTATGTGAGATGTTCAAGACATGATTTACCATTTCCAATCTATGTGCATTTCCATGGAGAAGTGGAGATTTGAAACCCAGGTCTCCTGGGTCATAGTCCAGAACTCCATTCATTACACCATACTGGCACAAGTGGTCTTTGTAAGATAGGCCTAAAATTAATGTTAATCTGTGCTACAGTGTGAGCATGGCAGAACACTTTTTTTCCTCCCCTTGCCCCATTGCCTTTAATACTGCTCCAAAACCAGCTATCCAGAGAGGTCCCAACCCTCTAGAGCTGGTTTTGGTGGTGTTCTGTAGACTGCAGAGGGAGGCAATTCTAGCAAAGAATGTGCCCATTAGATTCTGGCTTGAGTTTTTATAGTGCCCCAGAACTTTATTGTTTTTGTTACCACAGACTAATGTAGCTACCTCTCTGGACACTATTAAAGCTATGATACCTTTGAGATAAAAGTGGCATTTGCTGTTCACAAGAGTCATTTGTACTTGTTTGTTCAACTTTTTGCATTTCTCTACTCGTATTCACTTAACAGAAATTATTTTAGAAGATAAATTGCACAAAGATGGAAATCAGTATGTTAACCCTTTTACTTAGGATAGTGGAATTAGAAGTGTGTACCAGTTTATAATGAGAAGTGCAGCCTTCCATTAACAAAAGTCAGTTGTGTTAATGAAACTGAATAGAATTTATTTGTCTCCTCTGCCTCCTATGTAGTATATACTGCAAGCAGGAAAAGCAAGACTGAAGACTAGTTAAGAGAGAGCTTCTTGATCTAGAAATACTGCCAATGACCATTGAATATGGGGTGAAGAAAGATGAGATGATCTTTGGTTATACTTTCCTTAGACAGCTTTCTAAAAACAACTTTTCCCAGAGGTATCCCCTTACCTAGTATGTTAAGCTACCAAGATTCGCAGACTCTTCTGTTAACAATTGCCAAATGGAATATGACTTTTTATCTAACTTCAAATTAGTCAGAACTACCTTTAGGCTTAGAGTAGGGATGGGCACTTGTTACCCTTACATGTCTGCATACAGTACAGTATCTCTCTTTGGAGAGCTGAAAATGGAGAAAAGAGGAAAGTTAGCCAACAAAGGAAGCAACAGGAAGAAGGAAGGAGTGGTTTCAAAGACTCCAAGGCATGGGGAAAAACCCCTCCAGGTTTAGTGGCAGATACAGAGCATGCTTCCCACAGACACTCAGTATTAAAAGAGAAATTTGTAAAGTTATATATTTCGAACAATACAGCAATGCCTACCAACCCCAGCTAGCCTAGCTAATGATGACTCATGCTGAGAAATAGAGTCCAAGAACTTTTAGAGGGCCATGATTTTCCACATAAAGGATGACTCATATGCAGTGAATTACTTCTATTAAAGAAGATCCAACAGGACTTCCAGAACATATTATTTCTTCATGTGCCCATAGGCAAGCATATTTCTTAGCCCTGCAGGAAATTCTGGCTGTGAAACATACATTTGTGACCAAACAAAGAACACACAGATATATTGTTTTACCCCACAGGCAGCCTGTTCCAAATATAATTTTGGGGTCATTTGCTTGATGGCTTGTGACCTCTTGGCTGTTTTCCTATTTCCCACTGAGAAACTCAGGAGATATGAAGTCTCCACAGAGAGTGTTATTCTAGCTTTCCTTTCTTCCCAGTTTGTTTTTGTCACTTTGCTTCCTTGTAAGTGCATCAGGATTGTGGAAAAAAGGGATATGCTACCATTATACATTGAGAAAGTACTGTAGGGATCCTCCCTGTTAGAAGTATCATGTCTATGGTTTCTTAAAAGTGCCAGTTCATCAGAAGGCCAAGTTTGCTGACAGATACATGATGTCTAGTTTGTCACTCATGCCTGTTTAATCAGATAATCAGAGTAGCCAATAAATAGGAAACATATGACCATAGGAACTGTTGCATTTGGTATATATCACTGAAAGAGGCAAAATATTGTGATAGTGACTGAAAGCTGTTCATACCAAGAGATCTCACCTTTGCTTGACAAAACCCATTCATAGCTAGTCAATGTTCCTTTTATTGGTGAATTTATTATCAGTATGATCAGACTGTACCTTTCGGTTTGAATTCTTAATCTCTGGTTAAAACCTGTTCTTTATGTCAGATAAGTACTGCAGTTTCACAAGTTTTTAGATCATGTCACTTGCCATTACATTTTTAAAGGAGTCAGGGAAGAGAGCAGTGTTAATGACAGAGGAGAGTGGGTGACCTGTGATCTCAGTCAGAATTATACGAATTTGAGGGGAAATGTCCTGAAAAATGTTGATACAGTATAATTAAACATTCCACATGAATGACAGCAGTGATTTAACTACCACAGGAAACTAAATCAATTTGAATCAACCTGAGACAGCCTCTCTGTCTCATCACACCTTAACCTACAGCTTGAATCTAAACCTATTTATTGTGAGCATTTCCCATGGATCTGAAAAGTATTTACTTTCCAGACATGCTTTAGATTACTTCTTTACCAAGTTTGTTTACATATCTGGTAGCGAGCATGACCTTCGTTTTAAGATGATATATTGTACTCTTAGTACAACAAGGACAATTTCCGGATGTACTTTCCCTTACATCAAGAATTGCTGTAGTGTCTGAATTGCCATCGCAAAGGTCTACATTGCCATTGGAAGGGTCGAAAATAAATCTCATCTATTACATTTTCTCTTTGATGATCCATAGCTGACTCTTTGCTTTGGTGATTCAGTTCTTCTTTTTCCTCTGGTTGGTTTGTCAAATAGCCATCTTTCAGATGTTGATTTTTCTTTCTGTCTTTCTTTCCTGTTCTGCAGACTTTTTGTTCCTGTGCAGAGATAAATAAATTCATGTATTTGTAAGCATGCTGTATTCAAAATAAAAATTAGATTATTTTGGTACCATCAGAGCAAGAATAATAATTTAACTACTAGACCTTGCGGATCCTAAGAGCTACATCCAACATTAGTTATGACTAGCAGCACATTAATTTCAATGAATCTACTACAGTTAGAACTAACATTGGACCTAGTTATAAGAATCCAAATTGTATTATTCCCAACTGCAAAAAATTTAACATTAAAAATAGTTTTTTTAAAAAATGTTGCCTATTAGATGTTTAATTTTAAGCTATCTTCTGGCTCTGGCCTTTGTTGCTGAAATCTGTTCTCAAAGCACATGCCTTTGCAATCTGAACTGAAATTAATGGTATTTACACTGAAGGTGGTGTGGGGATTACTGTTTTAGCTTTCTTGTAAAAGGAGTGATCCCGATTTCCGGAATCCATGCTTTGGGAATGTTTGGAGATTTGTGATAAATGTAAGATAGGTGGCTGCTCTGCAACTTGAAATTGGTTCTATGAGGTACACATACATTTCCACCAGTTGTAGGAAGATAACAGGCTTAAAACTGTAGTACATAGGTGGAGGTGCCTTCACTTTTCCCCAGCCTTTAAGAATTGCTTCTGCTGAAGGAACCCAGAACTCAAAGTATTAACTCAGAACATAAAAGCTGACCTATTCTCTTACTACCAGTATTGTTAGCAGAAGAAAGGAGGAATAAAAAATGTCCTCTTTGTGACTGAAGACTCATTTACTCCCACCTGATGGCCCTAAAATGTAGAGCGTGTACATTCTCATGAGGAGCCACATTGGCTTTCTGTCCCTAAATGCTACTTTCTGGTTTTCAGGCAGTTTGGAGTTAGACAAAACTGCTTTTTGTGCTGCACAACCAAATTAGAAATCACATGATTAGGATCACCACACTCATGATCTTCTTGATGCCATGAGCATCAGTTTCATTGTACGAGCATTCTTAGAGTGTGATTTCTTTTAAAGATTCGTTTAATGAGCTCCAAAGGAGCTATGACTACATAACAAAAAAAAGTGATACAAAAAAGGAAATTATATTTCCACAACATATAGTTGATAATACTGAAAGTGTCATTTGTTGGTTTTTGGACCTATCTTTCTGAAATTATGTAGAATTCAATGTACGCTCTTATTTTTTTCTGCTCAACTTCGCTCCTGTGCATGTGCCCCCCATATGTGGGGTTCCGTCACAAACCAAAGGAGCTGAAAATGATCGCTGCGCAGAGGAGGAGGAAAGCTGCATGGAGGGAGATGGAGTCCCACACGTCTTAGAGGGAAACGTGAGGTAGATATTCCTATAAATTAGTTGTATCAGTCCCTATTAAATTATATACAACTTCTTATCTTTTTAACATTCATGTATCAAGAAGTTTTAAAAATTGCATTGAGAGAACTGTAGGAGTACTTTCTCACATGATTGGAATTCTAATGCACTGCATGAGAATATTATGATTAGGTTTACAAGAATGGGTTTAATGTACAGTAAGCCATCTCTATTTCTTGAAATCTCTGATTATTTCAGTGCCACTAATCATGCACGGGGCCAGCTTTTTGACAAGCTTTTTGACAAGCAGAGTATATTATTTCTGCTTTGCAGCATCAGGATTAGCCAGAAGTGGTGTAGGTTTCTTTTTTCTGTTTCTATATGTTATATTGGCTAGACTAAAAAAGTACTCCAGAAGCAAAATACAATGAATTTGCTTTACTCCAGACATTTTTATCTGTGAAAAAGAAACTAAGTGTGCATGCCAAATGGAGACACTGATTGAAATTCTGTTGCTTAGTGTAACAACTTGCACCAGCTTAGGCCCATTGAATCTGCAAGGATTTGGCGAGTCAACTCTTCCAACAGGCCAACTCTAGTTGTGAGGAGATGAAACTAATGGATTATAGATGAAACTATGGATGACATTAAGGAGTAGAATAGTATTTTCTTCCTGGGCAGGTGCCATATGTATTTTCATAGCCCAAACAGTCTCTCTTTAGTAAATAAAACCTCCACATGCACAATGGTAATCAAAAGCAACCCATTAAATATATTTCTTGAATCCATGTGGCCCATATTGAATAAAGTTTACTCCAGTTTTTTGCAACTAGAGAATGTGAGAGACCTAACATAGGAGGACCAGGTCTTTCGTGTCATTGATGTAACTCTTCTTTTTGACCAAATCATCTAGAGAATTTTCCAGCTTTATGCTGGTATAGATTCTTTCAACTAACCAAAAATGGCAAGAAGCATAATTTGGAAACAGAAGATCTGGAGATCTGCACACACTGAGTTGCAGGTTTTTTTTTAAAGCCTATTTAACAACTGGGATTACCTTCTTATCTTGCATCTTGGGCAATCCATGAGGATATCTAGCAATATTGTTCCTGTAGTTTTCAATCTTCTGCCAGTCTTCATTCCACTTCTGCACCTTGTAGTGAGGCTTACACTTAATAATCTTTTCCAGAATGACACGATTCTCTTGGCTTACTCTTAGTAATTCTTGTTCTCGCTTTCGTCGGTTTAAGCTAAAGGACACAGTACGTATATATCAGAACAATAAACTGTTGAATTCCTTGCCTTGGATGGCTTGGTTAGTTTCTGTCATTGCATTTCACTTGTTTAGATGGGTTTTGTGTATTACAAATTTTTTTTTGAAAAAAAAAGTCTCTTTAAATCAAATGTTTATTCTGTCACTTTAAAAGATTATCTTTCAATGAGTTCTTCCCTTCTACTATCTACTTACATGAACTGCTGAATTTTGAAGTAAGATAAAGGAAGTGGACTTTCCATTACGCGTTGAAGGAGAGAGCACATGTCACACATTTGTGAAACACTTCCAGAGTCTTTATACAATAAATTATTGGTTGTCACGATTAGCCCTGTCATAGTAACAGGAAAATGCTTTACCTATTCTCATTATAAACTTTACCTTTTGGCCTCATACTCATTTTTGTTATCAATTCTTCCTGTAGTTCTCATGATGTGTGATATCTTCTCCAGCAGCAAATAATTGTCTCTTTCAATAATGGAGAGGCGTTCCTTATCCATCTTTAAAAAATTGAAAAAGACAGAGAAATATCTGTAGAAATTATGTTTGATATAATCTTTAAGAAAGGGAAGACAACTATAGTGGTGCCTCGCAAGACTATGTTAATTCGTTCTGCGAAAATCACAGTCTTGCGAAAACATCATCTTGCAAAATTTGGTTTCCCATTGGAATGCATTGAAATCTATTTAATGCGTTCCAATGGGGGGAAAAACCATCTTGCAAAGCATCGGTCTAAATAAAAAAAGTCTTGTGATACTGTACACGGTTCCCCATTGGAATGCATTGAAATCTATTTAATACATTCCAATGGGGGGAAAACCATCTTGTGAAGCATCGGTCTAAAAAAAACACAGACTGTCTTGTGAAGCATAGACCCAAACATCATCTTGCAAAAATCATCCATAGGAAAAACCGTCTTGCAAAGTGCAACAGCGATCACAAAAACCCATTGTCTTGCGGATTAAGCATCCTGCAAGGCAATAGTCTTGCGAGGCACCACTGTACTGTATATCAATTGCTCTGCTGTGTTTATGATGGCTAGCTAAAACTATATTGTTCTGAAGGTGTTTGGTCTCTAGGACTAATTTTTTTAAAAAAAGTTCCTTTTGGTAAATATTTTGGCTCTGTTTTTAAAACATTTTTAAATGTTTTAAATCTGTTTTTGGAATGTTTTTAATTTGATGTGAATGCTTTTAATCTATTCTTGATTATTTTAATTTACTTTATTGTAAATCCTCTTGGAAAAACGGATGGGCAGAGAAGTGATGACCAAATTATTTGAATCAATAAATAAAACCATTGTTCATAATATAATTCATTTTATATGTATGTTTCATAATGTACACATTTGTGTCTGCACTTTTCCTCACTATATGTGCACTTCTGTACAGAAGTTTTTATTGCAGCATTCTACTGACACATTTGGAGAGTTGCAGGATTGAACGATAAATGAATTTTGGTTTGATATTGATTCAAGAATGCAAATTTTAACATGTAAATCAAACAATCTTCTTCCCCATTAATTCTTCCAAGTACTGTATGCAGAACTGTCTTGTCAGATTAAGCTTTATTCAAGCATTTAATCCCTTATAAAACTAGCAGATTGTGTGTGAGGAAAAGCATTTCCTCTGCTCCTCCAGTACCATTCCTGTCACCTCCATCAGTTGGAGGGTGAATATATATGCATGGAGAGACTGCTCTTCCTGTTTCGGCTCCCTGCAAAGACAAGGGCTCTAAATCACATGGTGAGTCTATAGCAGCAGAGCAGCTTCTGTGCTGCAGACATTTGCCCTTCAACCTGTGGAGACTACTAGGGCCCATAGGGGAGTGGGAACTGACTGGCGTGAAGTTGTTCTTAATCACACCAATTTGACTGTAGGTGTAGAATACCCCAATAAAGCTACAGAGCTTCAGGGATTCAAAAGGCAGGATTACATTTGGGAGAACTGAAAATATTTCATGGATTTAAATAAAAATCTGTGTTTTTTTTACAATTTAAATCAAAGCATTGATTTTTAAAATTTAAATCGTGATTTAAATCCATTTGATTTTTTAAAAAAAATCATTGATTTTTTTTAACCACCCTGATTTTGATCATTTAAAAAATTCCTCTTTAATAGTGGAGGTGATGATATCATCCTTGTTCCCTAGTTATGCCTCTGGAGATTTCAATGGGGAAAACGCTCACTGGGTTCGTATGAACTGCCATTAAATAGTTTAATGCTACATGAATGGGCTACGAAGATTTGTAAAACTAAGATTTGCCCAATTCAGACAAAATGGTCATCAGGCAAAACTATAAACAAAGTTTGCCAGGAATCAAGAAGTGCAGGAGTCAATTGGAGGAAGCAACGGTGCTGGAAGCAATGCTTGGGCAAGTAGTTGGGTTAAGGGGCCTGTCCCCATCTTTTCCCCAGCTGATGTATGCAAGCAATAGCAATAGGAAGGTTTCTCTTCTGCCTTCTTCTTTCTCCTTTCCCTGCACCAGAAATCTTCCTGCAGGATTCTAGGTGACTTCTGGGACTGGAAGTCCTAGAATTTTGAAAATCCCATCCCTGATCATAATACAAATATAACATGTTTACTAAGACACTGTATAATAGCAAAAGTTTTGTTGCATTCTGAAGTCTATGAAGTACATAAATTGTGGTATAATATATAAGCAGCAACATACCTTGAGTTTCCGTAACTTCAAATGAAGATGGCCATAAGTTGGAGGAGCAGAAGTGTCTACCAGAGGTTTGGCTATCTGGATCTGCAGAGGGGGAAAGGCTATATTTCTTCATGGAATAAAAGCGGGTCCCTCCATCAATGTGGTATTTAAAAGCCATAATCCTGATTTGTATCTTGGTTTGTCTATGAACTCAGTGGCTGCTGTTAGATAACCCTTCATCTGATATCTTCTTCTATGTAATATAGAATAAGAATAATCTTGGTTTTCAGGGCTGACAGAAGGTGTGTTGGGATAACGCAAGTACTCTGAATGCCTGCAGCAGCATGAACCTATATGTCTCTGCTGAGAAGTTCAGCAAGGCTCTCTCTCAAGGAAGCCCCAGCAGTGCAGGGATATATGTGTATAGAAAGACATGTGAACAGTGTAACCCTATGCATGTTTATGCTGAAACAAATCTCATTAGTTAGAATCCAATAGGGTCATTCTGTTTGTGGAATTGTGAGGGGGTCATTCCTTCCTCCCTACAGCCGATGATACATCCCCAAAATCTCTAGAAGGAAATATCTGGGAATAAGTACGCATTTGGGTGGCATGGATAGTTGCACGGAGGATGAAATAGGATAAAAGGTCTCTCATGCGTGCATTGACTCAGCATTACGTTCACAGCTTTGTGTTCGGTGTGTCTTACTCAGAGTCAAGTGTGCATAGGATTGTGTCTGCAGACATTCTGGATGTAGTGGTACTTGTTTGTGAATAGACACTTAGAGGATTGCACTTTTTATTATTTATCACATTTCCACCCCACTCTTCCTGTCCCGAACCTGACTGTTTTAAAAGATCACCCTTCTGCATATATTACTGCATTCTGTTTCTAGCACCTCTCATTGTCCTGCTGTCCTTCTTTCTTTTTTTGTTTGCATCTTCCATTTTCAGTCCAGAAACTCATTAGAAAGGAAATCCAAGCTCCCCATCTCTTCTGTTTGTACTTTCAGCTTGATACAACAGCTCCTACATTAATTGACATATTCTCAAAGTCTCTAGTCGTTTGTGCCTATTCAAAGTCACTTATCCTAAGTTACATACGTAAATAAGAGCGGAGTATTAGCATAATCAAATATAAAATTAAATCCTATAGCAGCAGGGAAGTGATTGTGCAATGAAAGCAAGTGCAGTACTTGCTAGAATTCAGCAGCTCAGCACACAGATCAAAGGGGGTTGTGGATATATCCTTAACATCTTACAGACACATGCAAAGCGGTTGCACAGCAAACCACACACACCCCAGTTTCTGCATACTGTATATTTTCTCTCATCTTTTTAAACTGAACATATAACATTGATTCAATATCAGGCATTTTTAAAGAGGAGGAGGATGATCTAGGCGTACGCTTCCAGCAAAATAGCCAGTTTACATGCGCCTTTTCTAACTCCAATTAGTTTTGTTTAATCAGAAAACAAACAAACAAACTAAAAAACACCCCACGTCATTTGTACAGAATGGGTGGATGAGAACCCATTGTCTCTATAGTATATGTGTACTAAAGGACTCTCGATCTATTTGTGGCAGTAAAACACCTATTGATAAAAGACATCCATGACAGAGAATATTCAGGGGAAAAGTTATGTAGGAAGCGGTTTGCAGTATCTGTGGGAACAGCAGCATTTTTACTTGGGAGGATGTTGTGACTGGACAGATACTCTGCATTTAAATTCTTGGCAGGAAACTGTACTTTGGTTTAGAATTGGGTGTCTCTGTGTGTGTCTCGATTCCTGTGCCATGCGTAGAGAAATAGGAAGCTAAGCAATGGCCAGGTGTCTCCGTCCCTGGCAGAGCAGTATAGGCATTTCCTTTCAATGAATTTGGCTGTACCCACCACACCTATGCTATGTGTTATCAGAGAGTTATACTTACCTTTTTCTTGTGTTCTTCATATACTGCTATGTCCCACTTTTGCTGAAGATATTTATTGCCACATGGCAAAATGGGCTGGTAAGCACGATGCATCTTAAAACCATACAAAATATCTCTAAATCTGAACTCCTTCGAAGAGCATGAGTCATCAGCTTGAACCTTCTTGAGCTAAGCTCTTAACAACTGTGGTGTGTTTGTAGCGGGTCATGTGGTGGTTGTCATGGTATCATTGAGACAAAAACTGAATAGCTAGTGGTAGCATTTTAAACAATATGTTGGGGAAATAGCAAACAAGAACACAGACTTTTAACATGCCACAGAATATCTTTTCCCAATACATTAGTCCCCAGAATAATTATATTTCATTCATCTTTTTTATAAAGGAAACAAAGTGGGTCAGCTGGTAATACTTTTCTTAGGTACACATGTAGGTAAATACAGTGTTGCACAAATAAAGTATTTCTTGTACAGTAGAAGACACTGAATGTAGTGTGCCCCCCCCGTGCCATCTCTTTAAAATGTTTTCCTGCCAAAGGCTGTCCTGTACATTACAACTTTATTATGCAGAAAATTATTCCTGGTTAGAAATAGTAAGCAGAGGTTTTTATAACACCATGCATGGTGATCACACATATGGAATCTTTTTTACATAAATACAGGGTTAATTACAGTTAGAAAAGGGCAAATTTATGAATTCTTGTTTCCATGACTGCACTTTCATTTTGATCTGCCTACTGACCTGAAAATATCTTCATCTTTTGTGCATGTTTTTCCTAATATATATACTTTAAATGCACTTTTCCAGGGGTGCATACTTTTGCAAGCACACCCACTCACCCGCCCAATAATGTAATTCTTCGCACAATTTCCCCTAATAAATGAATTCTGAGTGCACTTTCCCATAATATGTGCTTTTCTGGGGAAAATTTTGAGTGGCAAACTAGAGAGCAGAATTCTGAAAAGTATGGATTTCAATATACAAGGATGTTCCAGTTAGTTTATACGTTCAGCAGCTCTTCTACAATGCTAAAAGCTGCCAACTTTCACTTTGGGATCATTGTGTCACTTCTTACCACATGTCTTATGCTTGTTTAATAATCTGCCTACTGGACTAGACTATTTCGTGGGAAGGGAAACAAGACTGGATGCTAAAGAATGATGTGAAGAATGCTAACATTGGTGCTTTCTCCTTCTTACTCCTTCTGCCTCTTTAACATCTCAGAACATTAAAGAAGGGTTTGATGTAGTAAACTGCTGAGCCGTGTGACATAGTGCAGCACATTTACAGTAATATGTCATGCTAAAGCTTTCCTGCTGCACTTAATGGCATTCCACAGCTGAAAGGCTGGATTCACAGTACATGTGCTCATAAACATGCTTTCTTTTCTAAACAACTGGAATCTCAACACTGTGTAACTTCTTAAAAGGACTGGATGCTTTCAAAGAGTATGGAAAATCACACAGATATACTGTCAAGGCTGTTGGTGGTAGCCCCAAACAACAGTAGTTTTAAACAAAAGATAAGAAACATTTTTTCATGCACATTTCTGATCATTTTCAAGTTCTGAAGTGTAAATGCTCCCTTATTTTTAAAAGAATTCTATATACAATATGTAAATATACATATTTGTAGGTACTTCTATGCTAGAGTACAAATGAACAATTGAAAAGAGCTCCCTCCCATCCTAACACTAGATTGGTGGTTCCCAACCTTTTCTGAACTCCAACCGCCTTTTATAATAGCCAAGTAACCTGTGACCCCACCACCATGTCTGCATTAAAAAGCATTTTTAATGGGGTAAAGTCATCCCTGGTGACAGCAGCCATGAAATTAAAAGACGCCTGCTTCTTGGGAGGAAAGCGATGACAAACCTAGACATCATCTTAAAAAGCAGAGACATCACCTTGCCGACAAAGGTCCGCATAGTTAAAGCCATGATTTTTCCAGTGCTCTTCCAGTATGGATGTGAGAGCTGGACCATAAAGAAGGCTGACCACTGAAGAATTGGGGTGCTGGAGGAGACTCTTGAGAATCCCCTGGACTGCAAGGAGAACAAACCTATCCATTTTGAAGGAAATCAACCCTGAGTGCTCACTGGAAGGGCAGATCCTGAAGCTGAGGCTCCAATACTTTGGCCATCTCATGAAAAGAGAAGACTCCCTGGAAAAGACCCTGATGTTGGGAAAGTGTGGGGGCAAGAGGAGAAGGGGACGACAGAGGACGAGATGGCTGGACAGTGTCATCTAAATTCACCAACATGAATTTGACCCAACTCCGGGAGGCAGTGGAAGACAGGAGGGCGTGGCATGCCTGGCGTGCTCTGGTCCATGGAGTCACGAAGAGTCGGACATGACTTAACGACTAAACAACAACAAAAGTCATCCCATCTCAGAAAGTAGAGGCTTCTTTCTCCCCCAAAGGGCCTGTTTCTCATGCATACATATACACACTAACTTTAATACCCTGTTCTGAGAGGTCAAGGAAGAAATTATTTAACAAGAGCTGCCACTCATATAAGGTGACCTGCAACTCCCCATAAACCACTCTGCAACCGCCTTGGGTGTCAAAACCACCAGGTTGGGAAACACTGCACTAGATAATATAATTTAGATCCAACTGGCTTTTTCAACTTTATGTATCACCTAAATTTAATATCTCCTTTTCCTGACAAAGATTATGATGTTACTCTGCTACTACTTTGTGGTGATTCAAGAACTTATATATTTTGCACATGGCAATAGACAGATCTTGATTTTCAAATTCCTTTTGTCTTCAGAAAGGGAGTATAATCATTGCTTTTTTTTCCATCTTTGGATTTAGGGAGGGTGTAATGTGAAATCTGCACATGTATCAGTGACTCATTCGCCTACAATCTTGAGAAGGAATTTATCTATGGATGTCATGACCAACAGACTTAGGTTTTGGTTTTTTTCAATTTTTATTTTGCTGTTTCTTTCTCATTCCTTAACTTCGTACCACCTAGCTTGATGAAGGGTTCTGGGGGATTTAGAAGTTCACATACTTTTGTTGGATCTTGCTTGCTTCTTGATAAAATGATTATATATTTTTCTGGATTTAGTTGTTTCCCAAATCAACAGGAGTCTGTAGAAGTGAGTGCCCCTTCTGCCTAAGCTTTAGTCACCTGTAATGATGATGATAATTAGGGGTATATTAGTACCGATAATCTCATCACTGATTTAAATGTCAGCAGCAGAAGCTACAGCAAATACAGAGATGGATTTAAGCAAACACAGACCTCTTCATCCCGTAGCGTGTTGACAAACTTCACCTTCAAAGTTCTGATAAGCTCCAGACATCCCAGGCTTCTGAGTTCAACTTGTTTTCCATCGACAAAGATGAAGCCAGGCATGCTCCCAAGTTGTGTATTTTCTTCTTGAGAACAATGTATTTACATGGGAATCATCAAACTACTGGGCTTCTCTCTTGTTGGGATTACAGACAGCAATAGAGGTCATGTTTTAGACTCTTTTTGGCATGGTACAGATTGATCATTTCCCCAGCATCCAGGCAATATACAGGAAATCGTGAACCAATATGACCCCAATCCAGGTGGTTTTGATGCAGCATCAGGGTTATTCTTTTTCTGGATCAGGACTGGAACATTTGAGACTGGATCACGTGTGCATGGAAGAGTCTCTTTAAAAGAGATTGCATTAAATGAAGCGGCTCTTTTCTGCGTGATCCAACACAATCCAGTTTCCCTGTCTGATTGCACCCTCAGTTTCAAATACATCACCCAGCTCCATTACAACATCTAGACACCAGGCTGAGATGCACCTGAGAGCTCCTTTCGCTCCAACAAGAAACAGAGAGAAATGGGCATGCACTGCAGACATGTTTATATCCTACCAGCAGAGGGCAGAGTTACACTGCCATTGGGACCACATGGAATCCTTTCCAAGGCAAAAGAAAGGAACCGGTATCCCTGATTCTCTCTCTCTCTCTCTCTCTCTCTCACACACACACACACACACACACACATTTTTGCGACTACAAATTCTTTTTTAAAAAAAGCTCTTTCTTTCTTTCATGTTTTGGTTCCAATTCCCTCTGGCAATGATCAGATCTGCCATTAATAAAGAGTGGATGGGCTACTTGACTTTCCCGAAATTAGTAGGGCTTTTAGTTGTGTTTGTTTTTAAGCCAAAACTCCAGGCCTTCTGACTGTTTCTTGACACACCTGTTTCTTCCAGGAGTTTTATCCAATTATCTCTTGTAGTTTCTGAGCCTGCCCAACTAAAATGGTTTCTTTGCTCAAGGGATTTTGTTCAAACAACAAAAAAATTATTATTAATTTGGGTGACAGTTGCTGACATCAGGCATTGTCATCCTTGGGTTATGGAGAGCTGGGAATATATTTTCATTGCCTCAACAAATTGGTCTCTTGTACTGGACAAATATTTGATACACTGTTGCACATATGGGAGTTCAATTCCCCACTGTGCCTTTTAGGGGAACAGCTAGCCTGTGTAACAAGCTGCACAGTCCTGGGTGCTTCCAGAAGAAGGGAGGAAAACCACTTTTGAGTACTGTATTCTGTACCTGGAAAACCCTGAAAAAAGGGTTGTCATAAGTCAGAATTGATTTGACGAAACATGATTATTATTATTAAAGTTGTACTGAACTTCTGCCAACCAGCTTTCTAAAAATTACATATTCTGTGGAGTAGTACTGCTGATATGAGTTAACAACAGCAACAATAACACCTGCAGAGCTGGAAGGGACCCTATGAATCATCAAGTCTAGCCCCTGTCAAGGAGGCACAGTGGGGAATCAGACTTTGAACCTCTGGCCTATTAGGGGCCACTGCTACTTGTTTGGAATTGAGGCACAGAGTTATTTCACATATTGTTGAGGTATAAGCTCACTAGCACCTATCAAGTTTGGGTTATTGCCATGTTGCCATCTTCCACTATAGAAAGGATATATGTCATCATGAATAAGGGTTAGTTGAGAGGGTTCTGCCCATTTTATCACGATGTCTCCATTGTTATCAGCAGGTGCATACCCGCAGACACTACTGTGGCTATTGAAGTCTCTGACTGTAACATAGTTTTTTATTTATGAAAGTTGCCTGGGATTCTAAAGGGAAATATAATACAATATTAGGTGGCTTATATCTGCCCATTTTATCACGATGTCTCCATTGTTATCAGCA